TTCCAAACAAAATCGACTAAACAATTTAATGGTACCGTGTCCTTTACGTGGAGGTATATAATAGAAAATGTTATAGCCCCATAAAATATGATCTTTGAAACATTAAAGGGCGAATGGTGTCGGCATTAACTTAAACTTTTTACTCGATTTTCTGAGTTAAAGCAGTAGGTAATTTGTAAAATGAGGGGCAATCAACATAACTCTTCCAACGCATGAGTGTCACCGTTGCATACGTATCAAACTATAAAAGCTGAAAATAGTACTTATATCATTAAGAGTGTGGAAGTGAAATAAGCTTTATGAGGTGTCATAATGGAACAGCATTTTTTTATATTATGATAGCATTGTTACATAATATGCTGTATTGTAAAATGTAAATATGTACATTAACTACAAAATATATGTTGATGGACATTGGACATACATACATGTGTATATATTATATACATAATAAAAAACGATATGAGATTTTTATGACGTATTATAGATTGTTGTATTCAGCCCTTTTTTAACGCCCCACTGCAGGGCACGGACCTCCCTTTAATACGAAATGGATCAGGTCATCGTCCACCACGCTAGCCGAGTGCGGATGGACGGACTTCACATGTCTTCCGAAAACTTGCTAGGTTCTCTCAGATAAGCAGGTTTCCTCACCATGTTTTCCTTCACCGTAAGATAAGTGATAATCATATTGGAAATGATTCGCACATGAAAATATCAGAGGTGCGAGCCCCGGGATTTGAACCCGCGTCACTCGGTTTCCCAGCAATTAGCAAATAACTAAAAGCAGTATTAATTTTGAGTAAATAGGAAAATAAAAGTTGGAGGTCATGTTATGTGTTTCCGTTAAAGTGGAAGTTACAAGACAGTTACATGTACAAGTATTATTGAATAGTTTGTTACATATAAAAAAAAACATAAAAAATTGTGTTAAGATTTCTAGAAGAGATGGAAAAGCCAAAAGAATTTTGTATATTTAAAATAGTTGTTGTACGCATCTATTGATAAAAGGTACTGAATTTTAATTTAAATTCCATTAGCTGCCTAGCTTTTGTACATCAAGCATTCTCATGAAGATAAAACAAGTTAAAAAAAAACAAAATCGAAATTAGTTCGTCCATTCGAGAGCTACGATGCCACAGACAGACACACACAGACACGTCAAACTTATAACACCCTGTCGTTTTTGCGTCAAGGATTAAAAATATGATAAAAAGTAGCATTAAGTAGGTACCTATATGATTTTACAACTATGTACTGTATTTTGCTACAAAAAACTAACGTGACAGCAGGCAATAGGGGAAAAAATAGGAAATAAATTATCGCATTCTTCTACTCAAAACAAAAGAGCGCGATCCAATTTTGAACAGGCGAAGAATAGGATCAAATCTACGTCAATATTCCATCAGGGATTACGGGATGTCAGGAAGCTTTCAGCTGATTGAAACAGAAAAGGTGCCATGGGAAGGGGTGCGTATTTCCTACGACCATTTAAAGGGGATCAACCAGTGATAGATATCATATTACAAAGCGAATGCGAGATATATCTATACATATAGTAAAATTCTGAGTCGAATCTGTACATTAAATATTTTTTGGAAAATCTTATTGAAATAATCATTATGATCGATACCGAGGCCGAATCTACAGTTTTTAGAGTTTGTGTCTTTCTGCCTGTTACTGCATCACGAAAAAACCACTGGACAGATTTTGATGAAAATTGGTATGATGATAGCTGATTATCCGGGTCGACATATAGGATAATTTTTACTGCGTGAAAATATTTCATCTCTGAGCTAACCGTTAAAAAGTAACTAGGGATGAAACCGAGCGGTGCGACGGTGTGTCGCTAGTATAAAAATAAACATGATCTCTCTTGTGGTAATTGTAACATTCTTAGCTTACAAATCAATTTTAATGGGGAAATATTTGCAATTAAATGAACCATTTGCAGTTGTTTTATTTAATTATACTTACTAATGTTCTAAATGCGAAATGTTATTTGCTTTGCCATTATTCTTTATTTTTTTATAAAGATAGTTTACAAGTCGGCTACTGAGTTGAGAAAGATTGAACATGGCTTAAAAAGTATTCTACCTCTTTTCCTCTCGCATACTAATTCGTTAAAAAGTTGCATGCACGGAAGCTTCATCATAGTTCAGGGATTGGTATCTTACTATCCTATGTAATAAGAAGCATTTTTTTTAAATTCAACCCCTTAAATGGATGAAAAGACTAGCATTTCTATGAGAAACAATTTATTTCATTTAAAATCTGGACTAATTCGGGCAGATTAATAGTACTACTTACGTATAAATGAGATCAATAAGCTAAGCGAGATTATAAAAATAATATGTATACCTATTGTTTAAAACTTTAGAAAAATTTCGTTCAATTGACAAATATTGTTTTATATTACACAATTTCCACTGGACAACAAGCTGACTTGTAACGTAGCATTAGCTAGCTATACGTGGTGAGGGGTTACTCGCGAGAGAGAATACTAGTTATGGTGAAATGTTGTTTGAATTGCAACATTTAGGGGTGAAAAAGGAAAAGTATGTATGTTGTTTTCTCTTTATAATTACTAAAAGGTTTTTTGAAACTTGGAACATAACAATTATAAAAATTGCAATTAACATGGTTTGTAATTAAAAATAAAAGATAAAAAACACATGATAAAAATTTTGAGAACGTGTAATAACCTTTTTGTTTACAGCTAGTTTTTGGCTGTTGCCCCACTGGCGTGGGTAGGTACTTTGGTAAAGTAGTTTATCAGTTGATAATCCAGCGTAAAAGCTATCTTAAATAATGAATTTTTATCATATAATCTGCTTGAGTAGTACAACCGACAGATATTTCAACAAAATTTTCCACAACAAATTTTAGGAAAATTTTATTTTTTTAACTTTTACTATATAGATTTCTCATAGATGAGATATTTTAGCGTCGTAAAAAGTATCCTATATGTTGACCTGGATAACCACCTCGATGGATGGTTTTCTTATGATGCGTTCCCAGACAAAAATTCTAAAAACTATAGATTCAGCCTCTCTATCAGTAAAATGTGACTATTTCAATAAGATTTAAAAAAAAAATGTTGTACAGATTCAACTCAGTTAGAATTTCATTATGTATATGTACAGATAGACAGATTTTTATCAGTATTTTGATTCATTTATGATCTTGAGATGTGTTAGTACATCTTGAAAAATAAAATATGTTCTAAATTAAAAATTTTACTTCAAATATAATGAAATTACTATAATTGCCATTACACTTACAATTATTCAGCTATTTGTAATAAGTAGATAAGTCAATAGGTCAAATATGAATGCAATACAAACATTGGTTGCATTTTAATTTTGATTAATGTCTATGTGTGGGAGTGACACTTTATGGTGTAGGCTGAACAATATGACACATTGCATAAGGGCCTGGTTTTGTTGATGTGGACATGCTTACCTTCAAATTTTTGGCATTGTTGTATGTACACAGTAATTCTTATATATCTATCTATATATAAAACAAAATTTTTAGTTGAATCTGTAAGAAAAATCTTATTGAAATAGTCAATATTATCAATACAGAGGCCGAATCCATAGTTTTTAGAATTTTTGTCTGTCTGTTTGGGAACGCTTCATGAAAAAAATACTGATTTTGATGAAATTGGGTATCATAATAGCTGGTTATCCTGGACAACATTTAGAGTATTTTTCCTGTGGGAAAATATCTTATTTCTGAGAAATCTATACTAACTGTTAAAACGTACCAAGGGATGAATACAAGCAGAGCGAGGGAGAGTCATTAGTTATATATATATATATATATATATATATATGTAAAAGTGTTTGTTTGTTCATTGCTCTTTCACACTGTAATGAATCAAAGTTCAAATTTTTTTTTTGCATTAAGTTTATGGGTTACAGAGAGACATAAGTAATTACTTACTCTAATAGGACCACTTGGAGAAAATAATTACTAAAGACCATAAATATTAAATATATTAATAACATCATGGCCTGGGTCATGGATATGAATCATGCATGGAGATGATCTTGTTAAGGCAATTTAACACTTCACATAGGCTCTCAGGAAAATGGTTTGTTTCTATGGTCTAAGTAAATCAAATCAAAAATAGTTGATGCTATTTTGATGATAAATAATAATTAACTTAGCTTGAATAATTATAAAAAAGGATTAATTTCCAAATAGTTTCAACAGAAAAGATAGTTTCCTTTAAAATGTCAAATATTTGCATAAACCTAAAAAAGTATTAGTGGTATAATTAGTGTTAAAATAATAATTATTATATCATATATACATAAGTTGAAAAATGTTTGTAGTTATAAAATTAGAGGCACCTGTAACTGTACTAAATTTACATGGCACGATAACTACAATAAGATGCTCATATAAATATTTACAGCGGAGGTCCCATGTAGTTTTAATCATAAAAAAAATGAATCTCTATCATAGAAATCTTTACTATCACCAATTGTTCAAAATCTATTGAGGATTTACAGTATGAAAAAATAACACTCTCATTCACTGACCAATTAAGAACTATCATTTTTAAATATTTTTGTAAAACATTTTGTATTTATTTCGATTTCATATGAAACAGTATCAAAAAATGTAAAATTACATGATTATAAAAATCACTTAAGACATATTCCCACAATCAAAGCTATATTAATTCAAGTGGAATGTGAGCAGCCTTGAGTAAACAATGAAAGATATTGACAGTGAGCTTATCACCAGTTATCAGAGGAATGCACTTCCTGTCTGATAATACCTGACCTTTATTGATAGGCTCTCAAGGACTTGCTAAAATGTTAATGGGTCAGTGACATTATTAATTTCAAATTCAATGAACATACAGATAAACTTGACTGTTTTTTGCAAAGCACTAAGTACTAGTTTTATATAATTATGCAAATAATTATTACATTTTTAGTAAATTCTTATTTGTGTGTAGAAAAAAATAAAGTACATACCATTAGAGCTCTTCAAGTCTCGATGGATAAGAGAAATAGGTGCATCAACATGCAGGTATGCCATGCCGCGCGCCACTTGTATAGCCCAGTCTACTAAGATCCCTGGCCGGATCTTCCGCCCTGACAATACTCTATTTAGAGGGCCCCCACGCGCATATTCCATCACCAAACACAAATTGGGCTCCTCTAAACACACACCCTTCAAAGACACTATATTATCGTGCTGCAACATCCAAAAAAGTTTCGCTTCTTGCAGCACACTATCTTTAATCACTTCAATATCTTCGTTTGCGTCCTGACGCGCCGCTTTCACTGCCACCACCTCGTCATTCCAGTACCCGCGATACACTTTACCGAAGCCACCCACCCCTATCACTTCCTCGAGTTTCAGCTCTGAGAACGACACGCGGGGTGGGTCCACATCACCAATCACCGACGTGACAGCGAGAGGGTCATCCTCGGTAACGTACACCGCGGGGAAGATGCCAACGCGGTCACCGATTTTGCCTGTCCACCAGCCTTCATCTCCTGAAATGTTGGCATCTTTGGACAGGACCTCGACGATTTCACCACGGTGCAAGGACAGCTCGTCCTCCCCCTGGGCCGTGTAGTCGTAGACGGCGGTAAACAGAGCGAGCGGCGGTCGATCTTCTTCAGCCGCCATAGCCGCGCGGCCGGCCGCTGGCCGCGGCGGCATCACCCCGGCCGGGCCATCGCGCTCGCTCAGGCGCCGCGACACCGCTGCGACCTCCGCCCACCACCGTACATAACTACCACAGTCCACAACGTTTGGTTACGATCACCGTATTATTCCGCCATCTTTGTTTCTCTCATCGATCATGGCGGTGTGTCTGAACGTAAACCTAAAGCACTCGTTCGTTGGCGTTGTCACAAAGATCGTTTTCGAAATATAATACAAGTGAGAGACCCGCTGCGATAATGTTAATTATTCTTCATTCATCTATCACGTTATTCGATAGACGGACGAAATGACAACCATACCACAGCGAAGTCAGTGACAAACTGTCATAAGATGTTACCATAACAAATTTTATCACAGTTGACGTAAAATATTTTTGTCTTATCTACTGTTATAATATAAAAATATTAAAATTATTAAATAACAGTTGTATTTATTTATGAAAAAATCTGTGCCTTATTTAACAATTCTTTAGAAAAAGCCTGTTTAAGAAAAATGAATAAGCCGAATCAACTTTCTAATTCTAGATTGTTTCTATAGATGGCAGCGCTGTAGTTCTAATTGCGTCAATGTAACAATGCCATCTAGTTAGATCATTAAAACTAATTTAATATATATTAGAAAAAATAAGCTTATAATATTGTGTATAAATGCTTGAGCTAGATGGTGTTTTGAATATTAAAAAAAATATAACGTAATAGAATAAGATTGTCTATATTATTAAAATAATAATTTTTAAGACTATGCTAAAGGAGTGATTGTTTATTTCAGCCATATACACAAGAGGTCCCATGGTGTAATGGTTAGCACTCTGGACTTTGAATCCAGCGATCCGAGTTCAAATCTCGGTGGGACCTATCTTTTTATTTGCTATTTTTAATATTATAATTAAATCAATTATATTTTTTTTACTAAAGTTCAAAAACATAACTAAAACATGACACAAAATTATTAAAAATGCGCTAAATAAATTACATGTCAAACTTTTTGTGGGAGTCTGTACGGATGCTGGGAGGGAGCATTATTGATCGAGCGAAAATGGGATGGCTGTATCCATTCGCGGCGATCACCCTGCCCGCGAGACGTGGAAACGATTTTCAACCTCAAATCACACCTAAACGCCTTAAAATATTAGTTTAATAAAGCAAAATATAAATTAAATACGCTCGCTGAGAGATCGGCCGACAATTTGAGTTCAGAAAAGCTATAATACACCAAAAACAGCGCAAAACAACCTTAAAAACTCAAAACGTGACATGACATAGTGGAAAACCTATGGAAATTTTAGCACGCGGAGAAATGAAGAAAATGGAGAATTCATGAGAGATTCCTGTGATAATAACCTTTTCATTCAAATGTTCTTTAAAATTAAATGGAGTGCTTGATAATTTTTGTGCCCAGTGATAGTATACAATGGCCGATATATATTCGCCGGGTTAATGTTTAGATTATGGTTCTAATTAACAAAATGCCTGCAAATTGTTTAATTTTGAAGAGATATTGGCTGAAGTGGTGTTGGCGCAAACGTTGGTTCGACATGAAGTAGCATTAGCATATTTTGTGTGGAAGCTTATTTATGTGTTTTTAGTTTTATAATATATTACAAAAATGAATTCTTTTAACGCACCAACGACTCAGATCAATGCGATCGACAAAATGACAACAGTCAAGTGTAAATCTGTCGATCTAGAAGGCTACGTGATAATTGTAGTTCAAACTAAGGATAATAAAATCAAATTATATGGTAAGTACTGAGTTTTGATCAAATATTCACTTACAAATTATGATTTTTTTTTGAGTAACAAAACATCTAGTACCTAATACGTAATATTTTTCTATAATAATTCATTCATGCTTTTAATTTTTTCTCATTTTTTTATTTGAAATAATTAATTTGTCCATTTAAAATTATATTAAAAAAAATTAGATAATTATTGATTACCGATGTGAATACTTTCATTTTTAATAAAATTTCTTTTCAATTTCTATAACTACTCGTAAACGGTATACAGAGACTTTCTTTAATAATAAATAAAGTAGATAAGTTGTAAAACGTAACAGTGGAAATAATAGGCTACCATTGAAACTACAAGCTATAAATTTTTATAAAAAATTATTCATATTCATAAAATAAATCATTAAAACTACTTTTAAATATATTTTATTGTCTTCTCATACGTTCGTAAATAAAAAGAAATAATATGAAAGCCTTTAACAGAATATTTAAAATTAACTAAATCAGTAACAATTTCATTATTTACTAAAAATATTTTGTAAATAATTATGTTGTTATATAATAAGTAGGTTGATTCCCCATACAAACATTGATCTCCATTTTCACCCCCTCAAGGGATGATTTCCGGGATAAAAAGTATCCTATGTCCTTCCCAGGGTCTCAAACTATTTTCTTACGAAATTTCATCTAAATCGGTTGAGTAGATGCAGATATTACCCCCTACAACCACACAAACTTTTCCTCTTTATAATATTAGTATAGACGAAATTATGCGAATGTATGATGCGATGATGTATGAAATTGTAAGGCTTGTTGTTTCAGACAGTAACGAGCATAGGAATGGCATGATTTTTTTTAGCATAACGACATATGTAATTGCCGTTTGTTGAGAACTGTGCACTTGAGAACTGCTGGAATGATTGGCAATTTTTTTAAAATAGAATTTACAAATATTTTAAGTAAAGTTTTACAGTTGTTGGGTTAGGCGTTTTTAGAGGGAAAATTGGAAAAGGTTTGCCAGGAAACCGGGAAATTCGGGAAAAACTAAAGGGCTATACAATTTACGTGTGACCTCAAATATCAAAAATAAAACTGAATTTTATTACAAAGACAAGACAACGTCTGTCGTCAGTTAGGTGATAATATAAAATAATATTTTACTAATAGAATGATATTAACAGGATCTCCATCAGCCGGGAATTGGGAGAACCTAGAACTAGCCGACGAGATCATGGATGTTAATGAAACCAGGCTCGAAGATATGACTCGTACTGAAGTCCTTAGTCATATACATGAGGTGAGTCGACATTGTTTTTATTATTAACAATAGATTTTTCAACAAGCCATATATGATTTTTTCATGAGGTTTTATAATATAAAGATTATTTATTTTGTTAGCACAAAATATGTCTAGAATATTTATGCTCAAAAATTCCATCACCGCTACGTATAATTGACCGTTTTTTAGTTTTTAATGTGTTCGTACTTAAATAAGCTATTGCTTGAAAGTTGATTGATTTAATTTATATTTAGTAACAATTTGTTTCATTTTTTAAATATTTTCTTCGATTTCATTCACGGTCTTTAGAATATTCCTATCGATAATATTTACCTCTTTCTTCGCAATTACTTGGTATCGTATAAATAATAAATGAAATAAAAAGTTTTAGTAAATGGAGCATTTTTTTATATAAATTATATTTGACTTTTTTTTTTAAAATAACGTGGGAGGAATTATGACCAATAAATAATCAGAATTTCTGCATAAATAGCTTATATATTAATAGTTATATTACCAAAAATATTATAACAAATATTAACGTTTTTGCTTTAGATAAGTCTATTAAAGGTTAGATGCTGTTGGAAGCTACTTTGAGTCATTGGCTTATGATCTTAGTTAATCAAAACATAGAGCTCAAAAGACTTGTAGAGTCGACATCTGGGCTTGGATATCAGCCAAGTTTAATAACTCGGACGTTGTAACACTAAATACTGTCTGAATTATTGTTAAGGCCTTTACATAAATCGATTGACCGTATGCAGATTTCGTTCAATTAGTCCAAAATAGACATTTCAATTTTCAATTTTTCGCAAATAGCTGAAAATTGGTACAGAGTATAAGATATCAAAAATCCCCACATCTGCTAATAAATTATTTAAGGTAAAAAATATCGGATTTTTGCTTTTTTATGGTAAATTGTAAGTGTTTTATTGTTTGTGTTAAATTGTGTAGAACAACAAAAAACAAGTGACAAACATTGTAGAACATATCATAATTATCTACAAAAATTGTTCCTAAGTACAGTTTTCCTAAGTATCAGCATTTCTGAGATATCTAAAAGTTGAAGAAGTAATATTCTACATAATTTGCACGCATTTAAGCACCATCTGTGAATAAGTAATGCACTTGGCGCATTTTTAATGTGGTTTCCCCGTAGCCATACTCCACGACCTATTGCGATTCAGTTTTATTAAATAACTAGCGACTCACCCTCGCTCCGCTCGAGTTCGTCCCTAGTTACATATTACATTTAGTATAAATTTCTCAGAGATGAGATATTTTACGGCAGTAAAAAGTATCCTATATGTTGACCCGGATGACCTCCTGCTGCTGTCATCATACCAAATTTCATCAAAATCTGTCCAGTGGTTTTCTCGTGATGCGTTCTAAAAACTATACATTTGGCCTCTGTATCGTTAATAATGACTATTTCAAAAAGATTTTCCAAAAAATATTTCAGTGTTGACAGATTCGACGCAGTTAGAATTTTATTATATGTATAGATATTTATAGTTACTGATACCGATTTGCATTAATTTTGTTGTATTTTTTTGAAAACAAATTATTTTGGAACTTTAGTTAATGACTACAAGGTTGGAGATTATACCCCGTGAGTTTCTTTCGCCAGTTCTTCTCAGGTCTAAGGTTTCTTCTTTCCAAACTGGTGAGACTCAAGACGTTCAGTAAAAAATTGTAATAATTTAAATGCTAAGTAAAATATTTTGAATTTACACTTTGATGCAATTCTTGTACTAAAAGTATAATCTCTCGTTACAAACGAATGTTAGCAAAGTTGTAATAAAACCAAAATTGTTGATGAATAGGTATTCTTATAATCCACTCGTTACCAATTTTTTCATAATTTTTTAATTCTTTATTTAGAAAAATAGTTTAGTTTAAGACTACACTGTCCAGTACCTTGTTTCTGCTCGAAGCTCAATTATAAAACAGGTTTGGGGATATTGAGCAAAGAAATATGCACAAGCAAAACTGCAGGCATAGGCTAGTCTAAAATATAATTTAATTTCTTGCCTTGTACTTGAATGCATTAATTATATCATAGTAAAGCTGTAGATCGTAAACCGCTAATAGCAGGTACTTATACAACATTAGTGTATAATAAACGTCATTATAATAATTAATTAACGTATGATATTATCAATAACGTAGTGATCAATTATGATGATTTAATTGTCTCTATGCAGCAGGTCTTGAACGCAAGAATAGGTCTAAATAAAATAATTATATCGAGTAAATGTATAGGTATGTGACGTATATGTTAATTTGCTTTTTGCTTTACTAATTAGAATGACGAATTCTTTTTATATTTCTGATGGGATTTTTTCTATGTTATGTCTCTTTTTTTATTGCCCAAACAGACGTTGCTATTTAAGTTGTATTCAGCCCTTTTTAACGTCCCACTGCTGGGCACGAGCCTCCCTTCAATACGAGGAGGATCAGACCTTAGTTCACCACGCTGGCCAAGTATAGGTTGGCGGACTTCACATGTCTTTCGAAATCTTGCTAGATTCTCTCAGATATGCTGGTTACCGCACGATGTTTTCCTTCACCGAATTCGGGATTTGAACTCGCTTCACAAGGTTTCCCAAGCGAGGGCGTTACCATTGTACAATTATCAATTTTATTTGTGGCTCTTAAAAAAATCTGGATCTCAACAAGTCTCTTTTATCGGGTCCAACTACATATAGCTAAGAGCCATCGAAGAGACCCCATAAGTAATAAAAAACCCATCACTCTTGGTCAAGCCGTTTAGGAAGGGGAGAATTACTAACCGCACGCATGAAAATTTATTTTTAATATATATATTTTTTAAATATTTTTGACGAATATATTTTTTCGTATATATCTAAATTTAAATGGGAATTTCCCTAATATAATTTTACGTCTTTAAATATTTTTGTTTTTTTTTTCTTCATTACAAGGGGGTGCAAGCGCACCACGCTCTTAAATCCCCTGTCCCGGCCCCCATTTTTGATTGCTATTGTGTATACAGTATATGTACGTATTTATTATTATACTCGCTAACTTCGCAAATATAAAAAATTTTAGCGTTATCAAATAATATGACATAATTAATTGTATGTGTATGTAAATCTAAGCATATATACTTAACATATATCTAAAACATATAATAAATATAATATTTTGTTGCAGTGCATATCGTCATGTGTAATAAAACTGCGCGTGAAGCGTCGGAGTGAAACGAAACTACGTAAGTTTACTTTAATCGTATTAGCTTTTCCTTATTTATATTATTAGTTATAAGTTACTTCACTATTTATTATTATTTATTATTGTTGGATACGTATTACGTATTTGCTTATTCATTGACATAACATTTCTTTACATAATATAATATTATTATTTTTTTTATGTTGGGAAATGCATTTACGCATACCACCTGTATGAATACAGCTGGTTATGTGGGACTCACTGGCTAGGAAAGCCAGTATTTCCCACTAAAACCCAACAGAACCTCCCCCGTCTTAATGGGGCGTCGCAGGATCGCTTACGTACTCGACCACGACACCCCGACGGCAGGTCTGCCGAAGCAGACCACACAACCAAGGGGTTGCTTCCACTGTCAGAAAAGTACCAGAAGCAACCCGCATGATACTCCCACTGAAGTTGGGCTATTAAATAGACCTTAGTTATAAGGTAGAGACTAGAGACATCACTGATATAATTATTTTTTAATTTTATAAGAAATAATCGAAGTATCTATTGTGTAAAATATGTAACTGAGTATTTTAATACTCCAAGACCTCTTGGTTTACATAATTTTTATATAACAAATGTTAGGCCATACCTTAATACGATTGTATCGCGCTTTTACCGTCTAATGTGATTAACTAAGAATGGCTTCCTCAACACAACTCTGTATAACGATCATAACAAATAACTTTTACCTTTATTATTTCTAAAATAAAGTCTATATTTTGACAATAACAATGAAACTATCTAAAAATTGGTTAGTATGCGTTACCCAAATGCACCTAAAACAAAGAAAAATGCTGAATTTAACAAAGTTCTACAGTTGGTGACGAATCGCTTACTTACAACTGTGTCGTAATATAGAATGAATTAAGTATAGTTCTAACTACTTTACTGGACACAGCCTTTGAGGTTACATCGGTGTTGCCAGTTAATTGTGTTACCCTAGTTTAAGGAGTTACAGACTCTACTGAAACTTTGTCTATTGAATCATATCTGTTTGTGAAACTGCTGTTACTACTCCAATGATATATAAAAGTTTATTGTAAGGAATTTTAACTTTTATATTCTCTTTTGTATTATTCTCACATATATATTTAAATATAAATAATAAAATCTGCGTAGATACATAACGTTGAATACTAACATGAATAAGCTACACGAGTACAGTCGTGAATAAAATCTAGTATATAATATTATGTAAAAAAATAAGATATGTTATTAAAATATAATAGATGTTCTCCTCTTATTAGAATCTGTTGGTAATTCTAATAAGAAATCTACTTTGTTTTCATATATTCATTGTTACTAATATATGATATTAACAAATGGAATAAATATTTTTTACGATTTTACCTACCAAGTATTGTTGGAATTGTAGAAAGAAAAGAGCATTGTGATTAATTACAAATTGATATTTAAATTTTAATAGATAATCGAATAAGCAAACTAAGAATTATAATGATCTTCATCATATATAACAAAGTCAGATATATAATTTCCAAAAATTATATCATATTCAAAAAAATATTATTGTTAACTCCACATCATAGGAAAATCTGTAAATATATTCAATCAATCTAGCAACACCGTTCAAAAACCCGTGCGAGTGAGAAGGAAAACGTTGTCGAGTCACCGCGACGTAGCAAACCGGTGCAATTTAGTGTTTTACGAAAATTATTCAATAATTAAACGTATTTTACAGTATTTAGTAAATTATTTATGGTAGTGGTGTTGTGTGGTGAAGTGGTAGAAAGTGAGTGGTCAGGCCGGGGTGACTGAACTGAGGTCGCGCTCGCCTTTGCTGTACTTTGACAGTTATAAGGTTTTTATTTTTTTTATATATTATTTCTATACAATTATTTGTTATTATTTACTCTGTGATTTTGATTTGAGCATTTATTTTAGAATGTTATCTGTTACGTCACTGTAAATTTGTGAGCATAGATAATAAAAATATAACGGTATCATCTATACAGCCTTAAAATATTAAATGGCAATATAAAATAATTTATTAAATATTATATATTCAATTTCTAAATAACAAGAACTATTGCCAAAAGTTATCTTGCAAATAATAGAAGTTAAACCGGCTTATAAAAAATATTTAATCGCTATTGCAAAAACCGGTCAACCTTGGTGGGATTCGAGTAATGCTCTTCATGTAGTTAATTCTTTCATGTGAAGTTTATCTTTTCTTCAGTCAAAAGAAAGTAAAAACTAAATATAATTATGAGAACAAAATCCTTTTATTATTTAAAACAACTCTACATTAAGACCATCATGTTAACTTTTAAAGGTAGTTCAAAAAAATTGTCCTAATACCTAGAATACTAAATTAAATATAGGAATCGTAGATTTGCAGTTAGATTACACGTAGTCTATGATTCACTAAACACTACCACTAACGCTGTAACACTTAGTGACTAATTCAAATAAATACCGTTTATTTAGAGGATAAAAGCTTCCCCTTCTAAGGCGAAAATCCCCATTTCCCCTTCTTATTATCAAATTCACTAAATAATGATTAATATTTCATTAAAAATATTCACTTATCGTTAATTACACGGTCATTTTAAACAATTCAAACGAATTAATGATGATTGAGGTGCTACGAAAATAATTACAATTTCTTGAAAATTTTACTCAACTTAATTATTTCTTGAATAGTAACGTAAAAATTCAAAACAAATCGGCAAGAAAAATGTAATTAGATAAAATATTTACTTTTTAAATATGTATGTAATGCTTTGGTTTCTCTGTTTACACAATAATTATTAATTATAGTTTAAAAAATCAAACAAATGCACATTCATGACCAACAGTCAATAGTTATGTATTCGTCATCAATAGAACCCAACATCATGTCGAAGTTTTTACTAGCCATGAAGAGTTTTACTATACCAACTGCTTCTATCGTTAAATTATCTCGATAGTATCAAATTATTGTATTGCCATCCAAATTTTACATATTTACTAAGTTTTGAAACTATCAAGCTCAACCCATGACTCTTAAGTCCTTTCTTTTTTTATTAACCTTGCATATAATAATACACTAACCTTATTTGGGTGGTATCTTAAAGTCCACCCGACTTCATAGTTCTGTTCGCAACGAATCCATCTCAAATAAAATAAAATAAAAAATAACAACAAAATATGAAAATTCTCAAAAAAAGGCACGGACGTATGTCTGTGGCTATTAGACTTACTCAAATAAAAAAAAGTTTTACAACTGTCCAATAGTTAGAAGTAACCTGAGCTCCCAAACTCTAATAATATTTTCATAGATATACAAAACTAATAATAATATATCAATAAAATAGTTTGTTTGTTTGGATATCAGATATTTATTTAATTAATATTATAATATCTCAACAGATTTTCACTTTTAAAGACTTATATTTAAAGATATGCTACTAAATTTATTATTAATAACTAGTTTGTACACTTTCATTCGGATGCTATCCAATAGTTTGAATTAGAACCAGAAATTGAATAGTTTCCGTGAGAAAAAAATATTAAGTTTGTAAAACATTGTTCGTATGTCGTGGGATGAATTCGTGTACGGTCTACTTCTTGAATATTTTTCATTTGAATCTGAAATCAAAGTAGCGCGTTTTGAAAATAAAGACCGAACACAAAAATGGCACGACTCAAGAAACATTGACGATGTTCATTTATTTTTATTTTTTCTTGTATCTTTACGGTACTTTTGGTTTTCCATTTTCAAGAATTTCATAACATGATATCATGGTCAAAGTTTAAGCCATAATAACTCCTCAAGTATATAACATAGTACTTAAAAAAGCTTATTTATATAGCTCTTTTTACGTGTATTATAGATATCGACCTTTTTTTGAATAAATATAAATCCGAAAAGATCGCTTTTTTAAATTAAAAGTGGAATATACTCTTTTTAAGAAAGTATTACACAATTCAATTTGTTAAAATATTGCCACTTGCTAAGGTGAAGGAAAACCTCGTGGCGAAACCATGTCTGAGTGAACTTAACTAGTTTTCAAAAGACGTGTTCAAAAAGGCGGGCTCACCGCCAAACCGAATTTGACCAGCATTGCTATAACCTAATCATTCTTGCAATGAGATTTAAAAAAAGGCTGACATTAACACGTTTTATTACCTACTAACGACTCCCTCTTGCTTCGCTCGGGTTCGTCTCTAGGTTGATTCCCCATACAAATATTCATCCCTATTTGCACCCCCTTAAGGGATGATTTCCGGGATAAAAACTATCCTATGTCATTTCCAGGGCTTCAAACTATATTCTTATTAAATTTTATCTAAATCATTTCAGTAGTTTCGGAGCCTATTCAGTACAAACAAACAAAAATCAAATCTTTCCTCCTTATAATATTAGTATAGATGACCTAGACCTAGAAGTTTTAAAACTGATTTTTACAGAGGTAGATAAGGTACTCTCTATAAACCTTAAAACATTTCATTATTTAATAAATGTAAAAATGTTGATCTTTCTAATTAAAATTTCTGATTTAGTTCAAACTGGGATAGATATCTATATTTTTTTCATTATTACAAATATTAATCCTCAGAGGGAATCGAACCCGCTAACTTCAATATATAATGATACAGTTAAAACAACATTTCTCCACTATTTACCTTACCTTACATAATAAAATATCTCATACTCAAGTTAACCATTTAATTACTAGATTAAAGCGTAAACTTTAACTGTAAACACTCCATAAGAATTCCATACCGTTATTTTTTATGTTATTAGATAACAACGGGATAGACTGACAAAATGTAATTTAGAATGTGACAGTTTTTATTACAAACATCTTAACTATTTTTTAAACCTTATTTTTTATGGAGATTCTACATATAGAGATTTTGGTATCACAATGTGAATATATAAATAATAATTACTCTTATAATTTAAGTTAAAAGTTTTAATAAGCTAAAACTAAAAGCCACTCGATCGCGGACACGCCGGCGTTACAGTTAACTACATATACAATT